GTCTTAATTCTAGACAATTGGATGGATGGCAGATAGGGAGGTTTTTCTTCCCAGTCTGTGGGCAGCTGGGTACAAGCTGTTCAGGGGACAGCTCTGACCAGGGGCTTGGGACTGACCCACTTAGGATTGGAGCGGGGGTAAGAGATATCCCTAGAGCCTGCCCCAGGGATCCACATGACATACAGGCCCCTCTGCAGGATGAGAGTGATGGGAGGTTAAAAGCAATAAAGTGTGGCCCTAGTTAACTCCAACGCCTGTGTCCATCTCTATTTCAGGAATGGATGGGCAGAGATTAAATAACAGTGGTGGAGGAAAACATTGAATATTAATTTCATGAACTTTAAAATATCATGTGAATAAATCTACAGTATTTTGGAAATTCATAGTATTACTGTATATTCCAAAGTGTCAATAGCCACCAAGGGACCACAGCAGAATATTTTAAGTACAAAAATTCTCAAATGCTTTCCAGACAGTTTGCATGTCTCCTCTGCATTTTCTCTTTTGCATTCTTTTTCAACAGCTCCACAGTTCATCCCAAAACCAGTCTTGACTGCCACTCGCAAAGTTCCATCTCCCACCCCTCCAAATGTAGGACATCCACAAGAATAATCACAGGCCTGACACTATACTGATTTCCTACTAATTCTGCCTCTTATCACACACCAAGACAGGGCTCATTCATTACTTACAAGATTAAAAAATAATAATGTAAAGATAAGCACAGAAAGGAAGTGAATGTTCACTCCTTCCCTTTCAAATTTTCCTAATAACAGCAGGTAGAACACAAAGCAACTATTTCTGCTTGTAAAAAGTCCAGAAACACTGCTTCTCTTCACAACAAAAGTATGAAATGCTTTAGCCATATACTGTGATGTCATCTGGCCCAGAGGACTACAATCAATTTAGTCCTTTACCCCCTGCTTTAAAAGCAGTGCAAAGATGCCAGCACTGTAATGAAGACTTTTGGAGAAAGCTTTTAGAATATTATGTAAACTGCTCTCTGGTATTAATCATCATCATCATCATCATCATCATCATCATCATCATCATCATCATCATCATCATCATCATCATCATTCTTTATTATAGTCACAGGCCAGCAAGATTATAAAAAACATACAGAACATTAACTCCTATATATAGTAAATAAAACCTTCTTTCAGGGTGATTTCAACATTTCCTCTCTAGTTCTTGTTGTTTAGTCGTTAAGTCGTGTCCGACTCTTTGTGACCCCATGGACCAGAGCACGCCAGGCCTCCCGGAGTTGGGTCAAATTCGTGTTGGTTGCTTCGATGACACTGTCCAACCATCTAGTTCTCATAGCAATCAATAAAAATTTGGACACCCTGTTAGTAATATAAGTGGACACACCCTCTAAGCAGGAAAGTAACAAATCTGTGCGGCTACTGTGCAGAGAGACACCTATTAGTGGAGAGATTAACTTCTTTCTACAATCATCATACATTCTGCAGTGAAAAATAACATTTTCAACTGATTCAATATCCCCATTTTCACAAGGACAAGTTTGATCATTAAACGGTATTTCCTTAAATCGCCCATCTAGTACAGTGGTGCCCCGCTTGACGAAATCGCTTAATGATGAGTATTTTGCAATTGCTATAGCAATTGCAGAACAATGTTTGTACGGGTTTTTTCGTTTAACGATTGGTTTCCTGCTTCGGGAACCGATTTTTCGCTTAACGATTATCAAAACAGCTGATCATCGGGTTTTCAAAATGGCCACCCGCTATGCAAAATGGCTCCCCGCTGTGTTTCAGAACAGATTCCTCGCTATACAGGCACCAGAAAATGGCTGCCCTATGGAGGATCTTCGCTGGACACTGAGGTATTTCGCCAATTGGAATGCATTGAACCGCTTTTCAATGCATTTCAAAGGGTTTTTTACTTTCGCTTGACGATTTTGTTCTACAGCGATTTTGCTGGAATGGATTATCCTCGTCGAGCGAGGCACCACTGTATAGCTGATGGCAATACGTTAAAGTGAGCTAACATGAATGCTCTCCCATATTTTGGAATGGACAATGCATATAGGTATGGAACAATGAAGAGTCCATAGTTATTAATTTTATTGTAGATCAGTGGAGAGCAGTGTTTATTAGCTGCTGTTCTTAAGCACTGTAGGTCCAAGTCTATTAATCTCTGGACAAGGGATTTAACCTTCTTGGTAGTATTAATATTTATGCAGGAGAAATAGGGGATGGATCTTCCCTGAAGTACCATGAACAATTATGATAAAAAACAAATATATAAACCAAAAGGGCTACAATACAAAATAATTTGCTTGACTTACAATAGATCAGCTTTCCTTAACCTGTTGTCTTCTGTATGTGACTACAATTCACGTTATTCCCCAGAGAGCTCAGCTATTGGCCATGTTGGATGAGGTATAGTGGGAAAATTCCAGTGCATCTACAGTGCAGCAGATTTGAGAAAGCTGCATCGGACTTTAATAAATCACATACACCCAATGCAATCCATCTCCAGAAAAATTGGTCAAGGTTCCTTGTATTCCTTCTATAATTTAAACTCACTATGCATATTCTAGCCATATTGAGCAAGGTCAACTAGGCCCCCCCCCCCGTTTTGGACACAAATACTGCATGCACCCAAAATTAACGGAAATTTTCGTCGTTGTTGTTTAGTCATTTAGTCGTGTTCGACTCTTCGTGACCCCATGGAACAGTGCACGCCAGGCCCTCCTATCTTCCACTGCCTCCCGGAGTTGTGTCAAATTCATTCTGGTAGCTTCGATGACACTGTCCAACCATCTCATCCTCTGTCGTCCCCTTCTCCTCTTGCCTTCACACTTTCCTAACATCAAGGTCTTTTCCAAGGAGTCTTCTCTTCTCATCAGATGGCCAAAGTATTGGAGCCTCAGCTTCAGGATCTGTCCTTCCAGTGAGCACTCAGGGTTGATTTCCTTTAGAATTGATAGGTTTGTTCTCCTTGCAGTCCAGGGGACTCTCAAGAGCCTCCTCCAACACCACAATTCAAAAGCATCAGTTCTTTGGTGGTCAGTTTTCTTCATGGTCCAGCTCTCACTTCCCTACAGGAAAAACCATAGCTTTGACTATGCAGACGTTCGTTGGCAAGGTGATGTCTCTGCTTTTTAGGATGCTGTCAAGGTTTGTCATCGCTTTCTTCCCAATGGAAATTTTAGAAATATTTAAATTTTGTTAGATTTTATGTCATGCAATCCGATCTTCACCTCAGTAATACAGTGGTGCTTCGCTTAGCAATTGCTTCGTTTAACGATGTATTCGCTTTGCGATGGGTTTCTTTGAGGAATTTTCCGCATCATTTAACGATGTTCTCTATGGGGGATTTTCACTTAATGATGTCCGTTTTTGCTCATTTAAAAGTGTCTTAAAATGTTTGAAACCTGTTTTAAATGCTTGGAATCAATAGTCCACCTTGTGAAACCTACGCAAACTTAATTTGGCTTTGTTCTGAGTCTTTGTTAATTTTTGGTGAATTTTTTCCCCCATTGAAAAGCATTGGAACGGATTAACCGGTTTTCAATGCATTCCTATGGGAAATGGTGTTTCGCTTCATGTTTTCCTATAGCGATGGTTTTTTTTGAACCAATTAACATCGTTAAGCGAGGCACCACTGTATGTGCTAAAATTTCACAACTGAGATAGTTGGGGGTGGTATGGGAATGTGGAGTTAAGATATGAGAACAGCAAGTTCACATGGCTAGTCAGTGATCTAAATGAGTGAAGAACAAAGACAGACAGAAAGGACCTTGGCACATTTTCAAAAAGTACTCATGGTAGACTACCTGATGCTGTAGAAAGCCATCCAACCCAAAGGAGGGGTGGACATCCTCTGGGATGATGTCTGAACCTCAATATCAGAGTCTGGCAAACATTTCTTATGGAAATATATAAAGACAATATGGAATAATTCCCTGGTGATGCAAATGAGGCATTAGAAAACATAGACAGCAAGGTTTGGCATATGAAACTAAGTAAGACAACACGGGAAGTCTCCAACGACCTCGGCAGCATTGCAGGACATGGAACAGAAAGGTATGAAGGTATAGCTTGCAAAGAAGTCATATTTCAAACTTTCTGACATCTACATTGTGCATCTCTTGCATCAATCTGAAGCACTACATATAGTACTTTGTTTTTCAAACATATCTGACTGAAATTCAGATATCACCACTAAATGTCTATATTGCCATGTGTAATTTCGTTCTATCACAATCCAAACTGTCCCCGTCTCTTAAAATTTATTTGCTGTCAAATTACTCTGACCATGTTAGTGACCTCCACAGGATCTTGTCCTTAACAGCCCTATTCAGGTCTTACAAACTCAAGCCTGTCACTTCCTTTAACAAGTCAAATTATGTGTTAAAATATACCTTCCAATTTAAAGTGCAACATTTGAACATGATAGGGTGTGATTTGAAAGTCTACAGTCCCTAACTTTACCTTGTAACTGTAACCAGATGCAGATTCTCTGCTTTGAGTATCAACCACTTTCTTCCTATTTTCTTTCCTTGCCTTGTTTACCATATAGACAAAATAAAATGTTTTGAAAAATTCAAAAGCTTTCACTGTATTTTCTTTCTAATGATCTAATGAGGGTATAATTGCCAGAATCCTATTACTCAAACCTGCCAGCAAAATGGACTAGTGTAAATCTCAATGGCAAATTTCTACTAGTTAAGAAGTTGGCATAAGCTTTTGCTATTGCACAGCACTGGTATTTGATGTATGACAGCAAATGCCTATGCTAACTTTTTAACTTATGGCAATTCCCCAATGAAATTTATGCCGATTGACTTATGCTGGGATAATTTTTCAGTTGAACGCCAGTCAATGACTTTAGCATTTTTCTTTTGGAATCTTCCAGCACTTAAAAGTAGCATGAGTCTTCACTTCATTTCAACTTTTAAAACTGAAGACAAACCACATATGCCTTTTCCTTTGTTCAGTGAGAATAATATGAACACAAATGATGCATGAATTTTTATGTATATTTATTTCCCTCTATAAGTACAAAAGGACTTTTTGCTAGGTTACCTTCAGAGATGAACTGTACATATTATTATGCACTAAGAGCTTCATTGACACATAACTCTCCTGTAACTTTAGGATAGCGTATGTGGAAATGCAGTTTTGAATTCTAATATTCTGGGCTAAAAACACACACACACTACAAAAACAATTAAGCAGTTTCATGCATTTGAAGATGACTCAAAAGGTCCTTTTCATTCCCAAACCTCATCAGGCAATCAGTGCATTTGTGAGGCAAGTCAACTGAATGTCTGAAGTCCAGGTGAATTTTGAGGTCTCCAATCTGCCCTGTGGAATACTCACAATATTGACACAAATAAATGCCTTCGGATATGTGAGTGTTCAAATGTTTGCAGTATTCCAGCATGCCCGAAAAACCCTTTCCACAGTCATCACAAACATGAGGGAATATTTTTGTGTGCTCAATTGCTACATGTCGGTTGACATTTGTGTGCAGCCTGCTGCGGAAACCACACACTTGGCACACAAAGAAGTTCTTGCATTTGTCAAAGCTGATTTTATTGACCAGGCTGTACTGGCCTTGCTGCAGCTGTCTGCTATGGTAGCTGTCACTCAGTTCGATCAGCCGTCCTGCATGTTCGTTTACAACATGGCTGTGCAAATCCTCTGGGTCACTCGTTTCATGCTCACAGAACTGGCAGAGGTACTGTTCATCACAGCTGTGCTCCTGGAAATGGAGGTACAGCTCACTGCTAGAGGAGAACTGGACATCGCACTGTTCACACCAGTAAAGGTGGTCACTGAAGTGGGTGTCTGCTATATGCTGAGTCAGATTCTCAAACATCACGGTTTTGTAGTCACAGTACTTGCAAATGTAGGGGTCTTCCTCGTGGATTTTTAAGTGTTCAATCAGCACCTTTTTGGAGGAGAAGCTCTCCTTACACACCCGGCAGATGTTGCCCTCTGGACAAGTTTTATGCTTCAGAACAACATGTTGCTTTAAATCTGAGAAGTACTTGCTGTTGAAGGCGCAGCGTTCACATTTGTACAGGCCACTGCTGTTGGCTCGCAGCAGAGGCCATTTGGGTTGAATGGTGACATTCAAGGGAGGGTTCCCCTCAAGCACCTTGCAGTTTTCCAAGGGAATTTCCTCTGCTTCCTCAGCTTCAAGCTTCTCTGGGGAAACAGTCTGGGTTTCTATGTCATGAACTTCTACAGCCTGAACTTCAGTGGTGGAGATCTCTACAGTCTGAATGTCCAGTGGTTTCTCCTCTTCAGGTAAACTGTCACTGAAGACTGGGGACTCACATGTGTCTTTAAAAATGCCATTATTTGCAGATTTATCTACAAAAAAGATATGCACAACCAATATTTTTATAAACAGTCACAGTACCCAGTGTTTAATTTAATTTCACTCTTTTAATCTGATAGATAAAAATCTACTAGCCCATGTTTGTTTTGCACAGGACAAACTAGTTTAGATCTTAATGTCTTCCTATCCTCAAAGATGGAAAGAATGCCTTGGTTCATTGGCATAAACAATACACGTTTCTCATGCTATTTACATAACTAAATATTGTATGCAATTATGAAAATAGCAACAATACTTCAATACAAAATCCCATTTGGATCACTGGGACTATAAATTATGCATACTTAGTTGAACGTAACTTTCAATGAATTCAGTGCTGGGAAATGCTTCTGAATAAGCCTGCATAGTTTTACGTTTTTAATCCACATTTCCATGAAGGCACCTCAAGGCAGGATAAATGCTTCACTCATCCCATTTTCTACATACTGTAACCTTGTAAGAGAAAGCTCACTTAATGAGCTGGGATTTGAATCAGGATATTTCTGGGCTACATTCAGTAGTACAACCATTACAATATAGTAGATTTTTTTTAACTTCCAGTAAAAACATTGTTAATAAGATTTTCAGCAACTGATGCTGCTTTTTCTTGCACATTCAACATTCTTTATTAAAAGGAGGGAAAAGTAGTTAAAGGTCGGCCATAACACTGGCACAACCATCTCTCATTAGCCATTTTCTTCAGGAACCACCAAATGTAGCCTCCTTGACATTAGATTAGGTCCCACTCCACTTAAGACAGGGGTCTCATACGGCCCGGGGGCCATTTGCGGCCCCCCAGATGATAGTTAGTGGCCCTCGCCTTGCCTGCCCCCCCAAAGCGCCCACACATCCTCTGCTGTCAAGAGTAAAAAAAAAGCCTTGCCTCGCTCGCCGCCTCTCTCCCAAGACAGCACCTCTTGCACCCTCTATCCAGAACTGCAGCCTGCCAGCCAGCCCACCTGTCTGTCGGCTGAGGAAACTCCTGGGCGGCTTCCTCGGGCTCTTGCTCCGCTTGGCGGAAAATCTAATGCGGCCCAGCCTCACCCAGACTCTGCCTCTAGTGGCCCCCAGGTAAATTGAGTTTAAAACCCCTGACTTAAGAGGTATACACTGGACTGCCATCTTAATCAGTTATCTGTGGCGGTAACCGCATGGTGAAATCTAGCTGTTGAGAAAAGGTACACTTTAGTATTCTTGTCCTAACTCTGTTCTTATACTAATTCAGTTCACACAACTCAATAACCATGTATCTATGCAATTTGAAGCTCATTTCACACACTATTCTCAAAATTCAGGGTGGATCTAGTCCCATGATTTCAAAATAACAGGTCAACAGGTTCTGAGCAAAGCATGCACTTGCCCCAAAAGGACGACTAACTGTCGTAAGCCGCCCAGAGACCTTTAGGTAGTGTGGACAGCATATAAGTTAATAAATAAATAAATAAATAAATAAATAAATAAATAAATAAATAAACAAACAAAAACCATACCTCGATTATCAGAAATTTTTGAGTCCAGCTGTTTCATAGAACACACACTATAACAGTGGTCAGAAAATATACCGCTGTTGTCTATATATCTGGGAACACCAGAAGAATCTAGACAGAAAGAAAGGCAAACATCAAGTTAGATACAGAAGCACAAGAAACGACTGCTGTCTCTTGATTGAGCACTGAAGTACCACAACCAATACCCTCTGCACTGGCTGTTAATACTAAAACAGCATTTACAATTTATACAGCAATGCATTTTTATAACATGGAAGTCATTCCTTTATGCTGAACTCTCAGAAGAGAACTATAAAATTACTGCTTCACATATTTCTCCTGGAAGCAAGTCTGGTACTATTAGTTGGAGTTATCGTTTTGCAACCTGGCATTTTATGGCAGCAGCACCAGTGTTGGTCAGAAATGCATTAAACTATGCATCACTCTGTGCTTTGCACATAGATGCACAGCTCCCAGACCTACTTTTATTTCCCACATAAAAAAGAACTCACAGCAATAGCACATTTTTGTCTGTCCATAATGTCATACTTTAGATTCAGTGAATCTGCATTTTAACTCATTCATACAACTGTGAAAGTTCTATGTTGAGTCACCTCGGGTCCTTTCGGGGGGAGGGAAGGTGGGCTAAAATATTTTAAATAAATAAATAAATAAATAAATAAATAATTAGATGGTGATTCTTCCAATAATTTAGTTATCCTTTAACCAATTTACCTCTACATTTAGTTTTTGAATATTTTTAACAAAGATGTTCAGAAGGTAATATGAAATGTATTTATTGTAATAGATAAATCTATTTTACAAGCCTGGCTCAGCGTGTTAGGTATCTGGCTGCAGAGCCAGAAGTTGGGAGTTTGATTCCCTACTGAGCCTCCAGGAAGGACAGCAAGCTTGCATGGCCTTGGGCCTCTGGCGTGCCCTAGAAGGGAACAGCAAGTCACTTCAGAATACTCTCTACCCCAGGGGTCCCCAAACTACAGCCTTGCCTTTCTATCTGGCTGATCATGCGTGTTGGGGGGGCAGGAGTGCGGGCGTAGAAGGTAAATGAGCCAGAGTCTCTCGCTTGGGATGGTTGCCATGAACCTTGAGATGGTGACTCTTTTCAGTGGGGGTGGGGGGGCGGTTGCTTGGTGGATTTGGGGCAGTTTTGTGTATGGTATGTGTGCATGTGGAGTGCACGGAGAGGCAGGCTGTTTTGTTCTGCACGGACACCTTTCTTTTGTAGATGGAAGCCAGGCGAAGGATGCAAAGACAGCCCAGGTGGGACGCAGGGGTATCATGTGTCCCCTATCCCCGTCTGCTCTTGGTGCAGGGACAGCGAGGAGAGCGTGCTGAGCCGAGCTGGTTGGGGCAGGGAGATGCCTCGCCAAAGTGGGCTTGGCTGCAGCGACAGAAAGCTGCTACCTTGCTGTTAACAATGGGCAACGTGCTCGTGAGGACAGCAAGATGGGGGGTGTCATATGGCGTGTGGAGGAAAGCATGTGCATGCTCCTGGTCAGCCATTGTGGCCCACTGCCGCTTTCTACGGGCAGGCTGTAGAAGGGAGACCCCCCCCTCCCGACATGTCTTCTCCTGGGATTATTGGAAAAAGGTGTGTGCTGGGGAGGTGGGGGTAGAGGATATGCGCTGGTGGGTGGAAGGCTGGCTGTGGTCAAGTATTGGCCAGGCCTCTTTGTCTGGCCCATGGCAGGGAGCTGCGCATGGTGAGAGCCCATGTGGGGCTCCCGGGATGACATGCCTCTCTTCCCTGCTCCCACATCCCCGTGTGGTGTTGTGCCGAGGAACTGAGGAAGCTGCAGCCTGACTGCTGCTGGGAACTGGGTGTTGTTTCCATTTCCCTTTGAAACCCAGCCATTGCACCTCATGGGGGACAGAAAGCCCCGGAAGGACAGAGCGGTGGAGGGGCAGAAATGAAAAAGAAAGAGGGGGGAGGGGCGCGTGTGCGCACACTCCTCTTCTACTTTTGTTGTGGGAAGACAGGCAGGCATTTCAGTCAGTTGCGTTTCTCCGCTCCCGGCAAGTCCTGGCCAACTGGGCGAGATAATCGGGGAATTAAACCACACCTTACTGGCATTATTTGGGAGCTGCTTTTCGGACCGGCAGCTGTTTTAGTAGAAAAGTAAAAAAGTACACCCAAGTGCTGTGGTACCTTTCTTTTGTCTTAAGGGGACTGGAATACTTTGGTTTTGCTGTATATTTGTTTGGTTTTTCTCTCACGCTTTCTACCAGTTGTTAGTTGGGTCCAACCATGATGGGCTTAACAGATGCGATTGGACTAAAACTCCCATCCATCTGCGCTGTGTTGGCTGAAGAGGGTAAACTATACTCCGGCCCCACAACAGTCTGAGGAACAATGAAATGGCTCCCTCTTGAAAAAGTTTGAGGACTCCTGCTCTACCCGGAAAACCCTGAAAATGGTGGCCATAAATCAGAATTGACTTGATGACACATCATCATTATTAATTTCATAAGTTGACATACCTATTTTTGACCTACCCGAATAACGTGAAGGATGTAGAGTCTTCCTTTTCCTCTTCTTTGGATGCTCATTCATTTTGCTTCAGTCTAAAATAGTTGGAAAAAACCATGAAAAGATAGATTTATCTGTTAATGCAGTGGTTCTTAACCTTTGTTACTCGGATGTTTTTGAACTGCAACTCCCAGAAACCCCAGCCAGCACAGTTAGTGGTGAAGGCTTCTGGGAGTTGCAGTCCAAAACTCCTGAGTAACCCAAGGTTAAGAACCAGTGTGTTAATGCACCTTCTTAATTTGCAGTCAAAGAGATGGAAGTACCTATGCACCTTGACCAAATTTCATCAACACTGTTCTCTTGCTGGCTTCTCTTTCTACAAGTTAAGAAGTTAGCACAGGCATGCTGTCTTGTATGCTGAGACAGAAAAAATGTTCAGAATTTCATACACACTTAACATTTTCTCCAAAAGATGGTTGCGTGCTTTCCTGTCGTTTTGCATTTTTAATTTTTAAAAAATTGTTTTAGGAACTGCAATTATATTTATTGGTTTGCCATTTGCAGCCATGGCAAAATCACAAGCCTGGAATAACTTCGAACAAAATATGCTTTGGCTTGATATCCATCTGTCGGTTTCAAAGCATAACCCAGAAGTGATTCCCTGACTCTTTAAGAGCTTCTGATACAATGTCCAAAAGTCTTTTGGAGCAACACGGTAATCCACTGAGGCATTATTTGCAATATGAATATAAATCGGTTTAATGAATATAAATCGGCTACTTTATTCCTGGAAAGCCAGTGAAAAGTGCTGAGAATTCTTAGCTTGCCACTGCCACAGAAGTGCACAGAAGTGGAGGTTTAACTATAACGTAATTATCTTCTGTAAGCAGTGCAAAATTTTTGGCTCTAGCTAGTACATGGAGACTTTACATTTTTCCAAATTTCAACCATCACTGTCTACCTCACTGTTCAGATTAGAGGATACTATCAGATACAGATAAGCACGCATTTCTCTGCCCATCCCCCAGTCCTAGGTTTTGCCAAATGCTAACTAAGGTCCTTTTGCATTACATTTTCAGACTAGATGTCCTCAGTGTCTTTACAAATCAAAAATGGCAAGGCAATTCAAATTCAATTCCTTCAACTTACCAGACGGACTCCTCATTATCAGAATGAGAAATAAAGCCGAAGGGCTGATGACAACACAGCTTCTGACATCAGATGAAGCATCTACAAGAGGGAAAAATAAAACAACACAAATGAAATCCAAATAGGAACTCAGATTATAATACATATTTCTATAAACATGCACATAGGATCCTTTTTAATCTGGATGACTTTAAGAAGTTGGTGATATACTGGCTTATACAGAGATATAACAGAGCACATGGTACGTACAAGTCTTCATAATAATCATGGTGAGAACTTAGGAGAAGTAAAGACCCTACAAGTTCTATTCCTCAACCTCTAGGTATATTCCACATCCAAGACTCTAGTCAGAATATTATTGATACTCTTATAAGGTTTGTGCAACCTGCCATGGCTAATTGTTTACTTCTCATCTAACTCATGAGATACTAGGGCACGTCTTAGCCATGTGCCCAACTGTCCTACTTTATTCAGTGAAGAAAATTAGAATGTGCTTGCTTTTAAATAAAATAAAATCTGATCTTGATAGATACACCTCAGTTACCAGATCCCTTTCTGGGCTATGCAGATTCATAATACAAGTACAGTCTATATAATAATTATGATATAATAATAATCTTAGAACTGCACAGCTGGAAGGGACTTTATAGATCATCAAGTCCAGCCCCTGTCAAGGAGGCACAGTGATCTCTGGCTCTGCAGAGCCACTAAACCACTGAGCTAACCAGCACAAGTGTATTAAAACCAGAAATGGAACTTTTCAGTCTTGAACTCCCCGGTGAGCCAACAGGTAGAAAATATCTTCCAATTCTTGGTTTACAAATTAGGGCAACTGGGGAGAAAAAAGATGGGTTGGAGAATAACCTGAACAATAGCAGAACACAACAAGACCTGTAAGAAATTGCATAGGCATCCTTCAGTCTCGAGAGACTATGGTAACATGCTCTGAATCGAGGAGTGTCCTCTCCAGAGCATGAAGCCCGGGTAAGGTAATATGGAGGATAGGCTGTTACCCAAGCAGCAGATCCCCCCTCTCCACATTGCTGAAATGGTCCAATGGAAAGGCAAGAGCCAATACAACTGGTTCCAGCAACGTCGCAGGAGTTGGCAGAACGACACATGCTGCCTTCGGGACTCCAGCTCCGGATTTTGCCTCGAGGTTAACTCCTGAAGCCTTTTCCATGAGTGGATATAGCCACAAGGCAGTGGAGGTTTGAAACTGGAGTTCTCAGCAAGGCATCCATGCAAACAGACCTGGCCTTCGCCCTCAGCCCAGCTTCCTAGGTGAAAGGGTCCAGGGTCCTGGGACACGCTCTTTTAAATCAGGAAGTCCCACCCCTAGGCCCCACCCCCAGGCCATGTGCTCAGGAGACAAAAAGAAAGCCCAGGAAAAAAAACTCAGCAAGGCATCCATGCAAACAGACCTGGCCTTCGCCCTCAGCCCAGCTTCCTAGGTGAAAGGGTCCAGGGTCCTGGGACACGCTCTTTTAAATCAGGAAGTCCCACCCCTAGGCCCCACCCCCAGGCCATGTGCTCAGGAGACAAAAAGAAAGCCCAGGAAAAAAAACTCAGCAAGGCATCCATGCAAACAGACCTGGCCTTCGCCCTCAGCCCAGCTTCCTAGGTGAAAGGGTCCAGGGTCCTGGGACACGCTCTTTTAAATCAGGAAGTCCCACCCCTAGGCCCCACCCCCAGGCCATGTGCTCAGGAGACAAAAAGAAAGCCCAGGAAAAAAAACTCAGCAAGGCATCCATGCAAACAGACCTGGCCTTCGCCCTCAGCCCAGCTTCCTAGGTGAAAGGGTCCAGGGTCCTGGGACACGCTCTTTTAAATCAGGAAGTCCCACCCCTAGGCCCCACCCCCAGGCCATGTGCTCAGGAGACAAAAAGAAAGCCCAGGAAAAAAAACTCAGCAAGGCATCCATGCAAACAGACCTGGCCTTCGCCCTCAGCCCAGCTTCCTAGGTGAAAGGGTCCAGGGTCCTGGGACACGCTCTTTTAAATCAGGAAGTCCCACCCCTAGGCCCCACCCCCAGGCCATGTGCTCAGGAGACAAAAAGAAAGCCCAGGAAAAAAAAAACTCAGCAAGGCATCCATGCAAACAGACCTGGCCTTCGCCCTCAGCCCAGCTTCCTAGGTGAAAGGGTCCAGGGTCCTGGGACACGCTCTTTTAAATCAGGAAGTCCCACCCCTAGGCCCCACCCCCAGGCCATGTGCTCAGGAGACAAAAAGAAAGCCCAGGAAAAAAAAAACTCAGCAAGGCATCCATGCAAACAGATCTGGCCTTCGCCCTCAGCCCAGCTTCCTAGGTGAAAGGGTCCAGGGTCCTGGGACACGCTCTTTTAAATCAGGAAGTCCCACCCCTAGGCCCCACCCCCAGGCCATGTGCTCAGGAGACAAAAAGAAAGCCCAGGAAAAAAAAAACTCAGCAAGGCATCCATGCAAACAGATCTGGCCTTCGTCCTCAGCCCAGCTTCCTAGGTGAAAGGGTCCAGGGTCTTGGGACACGAAATTGAGCAAGAGTCTATTTTCACACTTGTAAGTGTGTTCTGATAAGTGAAAGCATTTCAAAAGGCTAGAGAGCAAACTTTTCTTATGCAACCTATGAGTTGTCATAGCATAGCAGTTAAGTGACAGGACTAAGTATCATAAAACACTTAGGATACAGAATCCCTATGTGACCTTTAGCAACCCCCTTATCTGCAATCTGGGGTCAGCAAAATATTGGTTGAGCTTACAGAGATGTTGAAATGACACATATATGTGAAATGCTTTGAACATTCTTTAATAGGGTTGGCTTTTCAAATATTTTTGAACTCTAACTCACCAGTCCATGACAGCCTGGCCAACTGCGAGTGATGCTCGAGCTCATCATCCACAGTGCCAAAGTTCTCCAACTGTGTTCTAAAGTGTTATGTAAATGTTAAGTACTATGATGATCAGAAATAGCTTGTTCAATAAATTGTTTTTCTAAGGGATACAATCTTTTATTAATTAATTGACTAATCTAATCAATTAAGGCGGTGTCCTAATTTACTGGACAGCTTTTTTTTAGTGAAATTGCAGTTGTCTAGAATTATCAGGCCTATTCCCTTCTCCCACGTAAGAGGGAAACTCCTTGTAAGAAGACACTTGCTGCAACATACAGTATATTTATCCTCTGAAAAGTATTTCTTGCTTTCAAAACATCTGTGACCAATACAAATGCAATCAATAGATCAAACAACTAAATCCTATTTTATTGTTTAAAACATTTATATGCTACTCTTCAGTATATTCCTGAAAGGCTACAACAAATCACACTGCATCAATCAGCACAAAATCTCTAGCTGTTAACAGGCCTGAGTAGACAAGGTTTTTGAAGGATGGGATAAGAAGTACATCTCGGGGGAGGGAATTTCAAAAACAGGAACTGCAAAAAGAAAGATTCTTATCTTTTATCATCACTGAACATTGTATCTTTAGGCAGCAAAATCCAGTGTGGTCCCAGAGGCTGACCTTATGAGGTTATCCTGAACTAATCTGGACACAAGCAATTTAGGGCTCTGTAGTCAAAACCAATATTTTAAATTTTGTACATAAAGAATCTAGAAGCCAATGGATCTACTTATGAACTGACAGATGTATTTCATGTATCTCATACTAATTAGTAATCATGGTACTGTTATTTTGAACAGTCCTCAAAGGCAGTCTCTGGCTCAGCACAGTGCAGCAGTCTAAATAAGACCATCAACTACATTTCTTTAATCAGCTTGTGACCCTAATTTTAAAACTTATGCAGCAATAAAATTATGCTGTTTATTGCTTATTCAGCCAAACTGAACAATTTAATAAAGCTCCATGCAGGAAAACAAGATATTTATCAGATGGAACAGTACCCATTTCCAAAAGATACAGGATAATTCATGTAGATCATATAGCAGGGGTCTCAAACATGTGGCCCCCGCCTTGCCTGCCCCCTTGAAGTGCCCATGTGTCCTCTGCTGTCAAGAGTAAAAAAAAAGCCTCACCTCACTCACCGACTGTCTCCCAAGACAGCGCCTCTTGCACCCTCCATCCGGAACTGAAGCCTGTCAGCCATCCCACCTGTCTGCCGGCTGTCAGACAGTGCCTGAGCCACCATCAAGCGATGCCTGAGAGCGGAGCTCACTCCCAGCCCGTCCTCAAACAGCACCTCCAAGCTGCCAACAGCAGCTGCTGCTGCCGCCTCTTCCAAGGAAGTGGCTCTCTTTCTCTCTTGGCATCCCCAGCACCAGTCCGGCCAGCAGCCGCCTCAGTGCCCAGCGGTACTTCTTCCTCCTCCTACTTGTCCTGCTTCAGCTGCCTTGGCTCTGGAGGCTGCCTGAGCTCGCCTCGCAAAGTTTGCTCATCTGTCATGGTGGGGGTAGCTGCTGCTGCTGAGTGCACCTTTTTTTTCAGGGGGGCCCTCAGAGGAAGGTTGCCGGACCTCCGTGTGTGCGTGCACACCTGTGGGGGCCCTACCCTGTTCTGTTTAATTTTGCAGGTACCGGTGGGGGCTTTTCTCCTTTGGCAAGGTTTTTTTTTTTAAAAAAATTGTACCGTGCCCTCCTCCCCCCTGCTAGGCAGTCGCCGGCGCTCCCTCCCTTCTCCACTTCTTTGTCCTGGTGGTGGTGGTGGTAGTGAAGAAGGAGCTGGAGGGGGTTGTGGCTGGCGACGAGGGTTTGTGCGCCCCTCCTCCTCGGAGCCCCAGCCAGGCTAAGGAAACTCCTAGGCGGTTTCCCCAGGCTCTTGCTCCAATTGGCGGAAAATCTGATGTGGCCCAGCCTCACCCGGACTCTGCCTTCAGCGGCCCCCAGGTAAATTGAGTTTGAAACCCGTGTCATATAGAGATCTTGCTTTTGGAAACACAAATATGCAGTGGTGCCCTGCTTGATGACTATAATCTGTTCCAGGAAAATCGTCGTCAAGAAAAAAACCATTGGAATGCATTGAAAACTGATTAATGCATTCCAATGGGGAAATACCTCATTGTCCAACAAAATTGCCCATAGAGAACCGCAAATCAGCTGTTTAAAATTGCTGTATTCCGAAACTTCTGTCTGGAAAACAGCCATTTTGCGAAGGAAGGGAAGCCATTTTGTGGAGCCAGAAAAAATATTGTTTCGTGCACAAATGGTTCGCGAAGCAGGGACTTAATCAACGTAAAGCGGATTTCCCCCATAGGAACCATCGTTTTGCAAACACAAAAAGTCATCATCAAGCAATTTTGATGTCATGCAGGGCAAGCGTCTAGCGGGGCACCACTGTACTTTCAAATCATTAAGCTCCCTTACACAACTAGATAATGCAGAGATTAACCCTCAAAAAATTGGAGACAATGAAGATGTGGAGGAAGGACAAACAGTCTCTTGTTCAGTGTATTCTCGAAGGCTTTCACGGCCGGGATCCAATGGTTGTTGTGGGTTTTTTGGGTTGTTTGGACATGTTCCGGAGATCTTTCTTCCTAACATTTCACCAGTCTCTGTGGCCTCTGAAGATGGTGGTCATAGACTGGTGAAACATTAGGAAGAAAAATCTCCAGAACATGGCCAAACACCCTGAAAAAACCACAAGAACCAGTCTCTTCTTCAGTTTTCTTTCCTGCAAATCTACTGTATGTTATGTAAGAGCTAAAGTTCTGAACAAAATTATAATCACTTTCTCATTAAGCAGCAATCAAGAAGACTGTTATCCAGAGGGAGAATAAGGGCAAATCCAGAAAACTGTAATTTGGAGGATTATGTCCATCGTTAGCACTGTCCAGATGTGCAGGGTCTTTTAGCTTGTGCTCATTTCTACAAATCTGCACTGCTGACATAGATCAGGACTGCACCAACAGGAGATGGCATGCAGCCTGCTCATCTGGTTTCTTGTGCTCATAAAGGTCTTTCCAAGGTGAAAACATGCCTATTTTTCCTGGGATCCTTCCCAGCCTACAACATGCCCGCCAGCTGCCTGAGCACTTCTCAAACAAAAATTCCAATTGATCCATTACAGCCTTGTATACCATTCCTTCTTTCCAGAATATAATGCAGTTGAGAGTGTTGCATCTCACAACACGAGCTGAATGAACATAATTCATTTGAAAACAGGCTAGGCATACTGGAGCATGGAGTGTATGCACTCCTCTGCACTCTAGAGTGCTCTCTACTGTTGTGACAAGAAAAATTTGGAATGGTATCCTCCGAAGGAATACAAATAATCAAGAACAGGCATTTGGAATCATTGTTAGTTAAAATCCAACTTTCTTTGGGATTCTTCACACATAATATATTTACCATGACATTTTAATTTCTGAAAATTCAGCTTTTTTTCCATGAAAAATAATTTTTTAACACAAGTGTGAAACTATGCAGGAAATACCGTGTTTCCCCGAAAATAAAACAGGGTCTTATATTAATTTTTGCACCAAAAATGCATTAAGTTTTATTTTCGGGGGATGTTTTATTTTACAGGCATGTCATCTTCTGGTTGCTGCAAATGGTGGGGGCGGGGTTTCACTTAACTAGGGCTTATTTTTGGGGTAGGGCTTATATTTCGAGCATCCTGAAAAATCATACTAGGGCTTATTTTCAGGTTAAGTCTTATTTTCGGGGAAACAGGTTATCTGAAAATAAGCAACAGTTTAAGCTCTAATACCCATTTCCTGTAGGCTAGTACTTCTTCTGCTACCACTTGCTTAATCTTGATATTGATTTAAGACTGAAACAGAAGCATGTAAACTGAGCAACTGAATGCAAAATGAAGTGATTTTCCACTCAATGATTACACAAATGTGGTTCTCTCTCATTCTTTATGTGCTATCGAATTGATTCTAACTTATGGCTATGGCCTGATCACTAAATAAATAAATAAATAAATAGATAGATAGTGCTAGGATTAGGTATCATACACGATTCCTAAGATAATTTTATGATTTTTATTTTGCACATATTGCTAACACTATATATATAAGAGAGTAACCAACATCTCCACTGCAGTGATGAAGTAAAAGAGGTGGTGTTTGAATTGCAAATTCAGGAAAATCATATTAAACAGAACTAGATATAAATTATCATTGGAAGACTATTTAAGAACAATAAAATACATGTAACATGAGAAAATAATGCAGTTCTTCTAAGGACCTAATAAAGATGAACTGTAATTTTAAAATGAAATCTACTTTGTTAATCCTAAATATAGTAGACCTATTGTATGACTGGCAAGTAAGTCAACAATTACATGTGTCCCACTAACTCAACGAATCCACTCTAGTTGGGATCAGCAAGTGGTTTTAGTCCTTAGATTCCTTCCTAAAATAAAAATATTCCATAATGGTTGACAAACAGAATGAGATGGTGTGGTGGTTGGCCTTTCCTTCTCTTTGGCAGTTCTTTCTATGAAGTTTGCACAGGAGTGATGAGGAGACTCTTTAATACTGAAGAACAATCCTCCTCTTGAGCAATACTGAGATCTGATCTCCATATACAGTAGAATCCTGAAATGCAAAACAAGACTGCACAAAGATGCATGTGCCACATGCACTCACCTATGTAGGTGTGTGCACCACTGCTGGCCTGCGATATAAGCATTAGATATTAGATAGGGAGAGGAAAACGTGCAGCTTTCCAAGTACCAATGAACTACTACTTCCATGAATCCTTAACAGTGCTCAGGCTGGACGGGGCTGCAAGAACTGGAGTCCAACAAGAACCTGGAAGGGGACATGTTCCCTAAACCCAAAGTGCTAATCAGGAATGTGCCTTACTGTTTTCTAAGCCTAATGCATCAGGGAGAAATCTCATATCCTGCAGTACAGTACAGTACTAGTTTTCCACTGGCAGAGTTTTTTTTTAATCTAGAAGAAAATACGCATCTTCATTAGCCATCTGAAGTGACAGAGGCCATTCTACCATTTCAAGAATTGCCTATTTTATTCAAAGCCCTATCTTTTTGGAGGAAGCAGGCAGAATAGGTGCCCATGATACCACATCTAACTCAAGGCGGGCACAGGAAGGTGGGTAACATTTTCCTTTCCCAATCAATGAATCTCCTTGCATAGATATTTTTTACTGAAGACAGTAAGTGTAAACAGACAAAGCACGATCACCCTTATCACAACCATATACAGTATTGAAGACTTAACTAAAATAAAAAAGAATATTGGCAGAAAAGAGGCAGACACCTTACCCCCTTTTAAAAAAAGGTAAATTAGGAAAGGTCATGTGATGATGGAGGGAGACAAACAGATTTCTCTATGTCCTTCTTCCCTTATCTTTAATACGGGCATAATTAACAATTTTTCTTCTCCCCACCCACTGTGAGGAAGCCTTCCTAAAGTCCAGATTTGTCTGTCCTCCCTGCTCCCCAATTCGATTTCCAGACAATTCAATTTCGATTTACAAGGTCATTCAAGACTACACATCGAATCATTTACACGGAAGTAAAACGTCACTAACTACCAGGAGTTACTACTTGTGAGTAACTACCCCCTATCATTACGCCCCTAGGTGTTTCGAAATGATGCGTCTTGCTTCATCGTTTTCCCCCGTCCTTGTAATCCTCCCTGGCTTTTAGCGCGGCTTCTCTTCTCCCAGAGTACAGGAGCAACACCGGATTGCAGGGTTCAGATGTGCTTGAAAACCTAACGGATGTTCCCTCTTGGGGGGGCTTCGTTGGGATAACGCGCGTTACACTAAGAGGAATCCTCCTCACTCGTTGCCATTGGGCGCGGATTGGGGCCGAGTCAGGTCTTTCCCCGCCCTTCGAACCCCATAAAAGGCCGAAATACCATAAATGCCCACAAAAGCATCTCCAGACATGCCCCGAAAAAGAAAAGGGGGCTTTCTGAGGGGACGAAGCAGCTCGCCTGGCCTCGAAACTGAAAGGGTGGGGGTAGAAAATGCTCTTTAGAGGCACACACCACCCAGGCGGGGGTTTATTTTTCTACTCACCTTCCCTCAGCGGGAGATACGGGGGTAAAAAAAACGGAGGTAAAGGCGGGAACATCTTTCTTCCCCCCCTCCCCCCCCTCAGCCTCACTCCCTCAGGACTCACCTTGAGCACCAGGCCGCAAGCGACGCCTCACACGCCGCCAGAACAAGCCACTCGGGAGGAGGCAGGGCGAGAAGCGAGGGAGCGGGGAGGCGGGCCCGAGCGCCCCTTTCCTCCGCCCCGTCGCTGAGGTAAAAGGAGAGGGGAGAGGAGCGTCCTCCTCGTCTCTCCGCGCCCCCCTCCCCCAAGAATGGAGGCCTGCTCTGCCCGTCCAGGAGTTTGAGGAGGTCACCTTAGGGTGAGAGGGCGGACTAGACCATATCAGGCTGCCTCCGGGGAGGTGTCTGCAAAGCCCCTTCCTTTCGAATTAACGCTCCGCCAGGGGCGGACAGCTGACAGAGGCGGGAGAGCTGTTTCGGAGTTTTCGTTTTCCCGCGTTCCAAGATGTGAGCCGTCTCTCTCTCTCTCTCTCTCCTCCCCCCCGTGCTGTCTGAAATGGTACATTCCACTCATCGGCGAGCTGCACCCCCCCTCCCCGGGCTCGGGCGTGTGCACGTGCCGCCGCGGCCTCCCTCGCGCCGGTGACGCGGCTTTGCGCAAGGCCAGCTTGCCGCACTGGCGGGGAAGCGTGGCAACGTCGCGAAGGGGGGCGCGCGGGGCAGGGCCTGCCTTCCGGTTGGAGGCGCGACCTAAACTGTGGTGGGCACCCAGGGCAGAGCCTTTGGGGGGGCACCTTTCTCCCCCAGCCCCCCCACTCCACCCGCTCTCAGGACGGCTGCGGTGGCAGTTCCCGACCCTCCTGCCGTCTCCCCACAAGGGAGCACGTGTGGTGACAAGCAGATGTGCGGGGTGTGTGTGTGTGTCACACCTGCAGATCTGAGGGTGTGTGTGTGTCTCACACCTGCAGATCTGAGGGGGACAGATACAGAGGGGCTGTGGGCCTGACCAGGGCCAGGGTTCCCTGCAGGGTCGAAGCTTTGCCTTTTCTGAACAGGAGAGATCACGACAGGCAAAATCCAAATAAACAAAACATGTGGCACCTATTCTACTGTGTTTTAGTGTGAGCTTTTGTGGATGCCTCCGCTTCGTCAGATATAGGGGAAACAGAATGAAACGTTGAACATAATACCAGCTTCATACTAAATATTCATTGGCTCTTGGTTGTACGCACATTTACAGGCAGTCATTGGGCTTGTGTTGTTTTAGGGCTTTTATCTCATCTTTGACCAGGTTTGCTGTGTTTCCTGACTCCTGAGGAATTTTTACAAGATGAGCAGGGAAAGAGAAGAAAGAGGAGAGGTGTTTTTATCTCTCTCCCAAGACTGGGGAGAGACTGAGTTCCCTTAGAACTCGAGAGGAGGAAAAATAATATTAGATATAAAGGTGGAAAGATGGCAGAGGAATCCCATTTGTTAATGTAAGGAATATGAGCAGTTTTGACTTTTGAGCCTTGTAATAAGATGCGGGCAGGACAGATCCTGAAGCTGAGGCTCCAATACTTTGGCCATCTGATGAGAAGACTCCCTGGAAAAGACCCTGATGTTGGGAAAGTGTGAAGGCAAGAGGAGAAGGGGACGACAGAGGACAAGATGGCTGGACAGAGTCACCGAAGCTCCCAACATGAATTTGACCCAACTCCGGGAGGCAGTGGAAGACAGGAGGGCCTGGCGTGCTCTGGTCCATGGGGTCACGAAGAGTCAGACATGACTTAACGACTAAGCAACAACAAATAAGAAACCTAGGTACAGTAATGATTTAAGAAACCACCATGGATTCCTAGTTCTGTATGAGTTTAACCCACATTAGTTAGGAGACAAAAAAAATATTTTTCAATGAACAGGTTACTGTTCAAGCTATTCCTGCTGTAATGCAAAGTATTGGGAGTGTGGCTCTGTCTTGAACAGCAATTAAGAGCCATTAACTGTTCAAAAGACCTGTTCCCCACCTCTTGATATGGTCTGATCCAGGTACTTGTATTCCCCTTGGAGGGACAGGCTATGAGACAGTCCTAATGAGTGTGTGCCAAATTACCACTATATCACTGAGTCATACAAGGAACTCCTTCTAATAGCCTAAAGGAGAAACAAATAATGCCTTCTGTGCCTGGTGTGACAGAAACTGCACCTAGTAACTCACCTTTTCTAGCTCCGTAGCATTGTTCTCTGCTTCTTTTAAGCTGTGCTCTCTTTCAGTGATCTGAACATTTAATTAATATTTTTTTTATATTTGACATTTATGTTGTAGAAGTGGTACTTGTGCAAGTCTGTGCAAGCATTATAGATAAAAGCAAAATCTCTCTTACATCTGATGGAGAGGACTTGTCCATGAAAACTCACATTAAAAAAAACATGTTAGTCTTTAAGGTGCCACCATGTTTTTGTCTTTTTTAACTTTTTATTTCTATTTTGTTTTTACCTTTAATAATTTAAATTGCTGATAATTTAAGGGGGAGATATCAGCAGCCTCATGCACAGAGCATTAAAATACCCACTGACTACGAACTAACAGAATAGCAAGAGTTAAATAGGCAGTTTGAAAAATCTCATAAAAAAATCTCAAAAATATTGTTAATCATTTATTGTTAGGTTGTCACCTTGTGTTACACATTGTTATTTCAGTCTTGTGTCACATAAAGATAGAAAGATTAAAAAAGGACAAGAAACAAGAGCACAATACAAAGCAATTATAACATTTAGCAAGAGCAGTATTAAAAAGTACCTGGAAGGAGCTGTCTATAGAGCTGCCAGACTAATGAAGGATAAGCAGGGGAGGGAGTACTGTACAAGAAAGCTTTAATATGTAATGTTTTCACATAGTTCGATGTTATGTACTGTCAAGTTGGAACTGGCTTAATAGGGTCCTTAATAGTGCTTCCCAGGTGAGTGAGATCTTTAAAGAAGGGTTTTACCAGTTCCAGCCCCTCAGTTTCCGTGGCCAAGCAGGAATTTGAGACCAGGTTTCCTGAGTCATAATCCATCTCTCTCCATTACATTGCACTGGGTAGCCAGTGTTACCTCTTTATTACGCTTTACTCACCCCCATGATATCACCAGAAACAAAAAATTTGACTTGCTTTTTGCTGCTGTCAAGCACTCTTTATGATGGGTTAAGTATACAATAAAAACTGAAAATGAACAGAGAGCACAAGAGCCAGAATCTGTCTATAACATAAATACAGTGATGCCTCCCAAGACGAATGCTTTGCACAATGAAAAACTTGCAAGACGAAAGCGTTTTGTGTATTTTTTTTTTGTGACTTGCAAGACAAATTTTTCTATGGCTGTGCTTCGCAAGACGAATAGGAATGCATGAATTAAATTTCAGTGCATTCCTATGGGTAACCGCACTTTGCAAGACAAAATGTTTGCAGTACGAAACGACTTGCGGAATGAATTACTTTCGTCTTGCGAGGCATCACTGTATATAATTCTTCAAGGATCATTTTGTTATACCAGTTATTCCTTTCTATCACTTATGGTAATTCCCTTCCATGACAATTTTAATCCTGAAAAATCCATTCTGATCCACTGGAGTTTTGCAGCAATATTAACGCCAACAGACTGTTTATTTTTAAAGAGGACACTTATTTCAGTTTTCAAAACAAGCTGTCATTATTTAAAGATGAAGTGGGTAACTTGCGGACCCCCTGCTCCAGAAGTTCCTACACTGCACCCGTCATCATTTTTCACCATTGGCTAGGGTTGGTAAGAGTTGCAGACTGACAATATTTGGGGGACCAGGAGCTGCTCACTCTTGCTTTAAATAAAGGCAGACATTGTAAAAATTAAAAAGCCATCCGTATTTCACACACAAATCTTATGTAAGGCAATACACTGCACTATGGGATGATGCACCTACCACCTCCTTCTGCTACAAGACTTGTCTGTCAACACCCCTCAGCTCGTTGGCTGGTTGGAGAATGAGTTGCTTCCTTTTTCAAATTGTTTATATAAAGTATGCTGTTTTTGTACTCTTTTGTACTTTATATAAATTATGCTGTTAAATCACTCTGAATGGTTTACAATGTAATTATGTAGGCTACTCAATGCCCCCCCCCATGGGCTGGGTACTCAATTTAGAAAGGATGGAATGCTGAGTCAGCCATGAGCTGGCTACCTGAGCTTACTGGGATTGAACTCAGGTCATGAGCAGAGGTCTCACTGCAGTACTGCAGTTTAACCACTGCGCCACAAGGCTCATATAGAACAGTTTTGTGCGCCTTCCATGCCCATATCGCCTTATCACTTTGTACAGCCTGAATGAATAATTCCTCAGAACTCCAAACCGCCTCCTTTTAATTATTTCAGATATTGAGCTAGCAGCCATCTGTCCTAAAGGGGTAGCTTTGTGGGTTTCACAAAGTTAGCTCAAACCAAAGCCAATGTATGTTGATGTTGAGTGAGTCAAGTCAATGTGTATTGTGACACAAAGGCCCTATGGGTCTTGGCAACAAGAAGCCAGTCAGAGTTGGGAGGATCTGGGGAAATGAACAGGGGGAGGAATGAGCCTAAGGGGTATGGAGCAGGAGAGAGGAATCCAAGAGGAGCACGTAGAGCAAGAAACAGAGGCTGAGGAGAACACCGAGGAGCTGAATGGGACCCTTGAGGAGCAGGCCATAGATCTGGAGGAGAGTGAACCAGTGGGTACTCGAGAGCAGGCACTAGCACTGCAGGAGGAGAGCACTGAGCTGGATGGAGCCATTTCTCAGCAGGAAATCTCAGAGGAGACAGAAAGGAACTATGAGTTTCCCATGGGTATAGCTGGAGGAGCCAGGCCAAAGATCAAGGAGCCAGTTCTTGCAGGGCAGGAAGAAGAATTGATGGAGCTATCTCAGGAAACCCTGATCAGTCATGCAGAGCACTTTGAAGCAGGCCAGGGTGGCTTCAGAGGATGGGCAACGAAAGGAACCCACAAGAAGATCCTGAGGCAAGCCGGGAGATCTTGGGGAGAGGTCACCGATAAAGCAGGAAGAGGCCAAGGGAAGACGATGGAAGAGGACCGCCAAGGCCAAGAAGCGGGCCTCAAGCTAGTCAGAGACCTGTTGGCGGTGGTGGCCAGATCCGACCTTCCCCTCGAGGAAAAGCTGGAACTGGAATTTGTCACCCTTCAGTTTATGATGGGAGGCAACGTCCATTTGCTTGGCGAGCTGCAAAGCCAGGCGGTGGTAGAGGACTTCCGGCAGGAGGTTTTCGCTAAATTCCCTATCCCAGCTTTCCACGTGACTAGCTCGGTGATCTGCTGTGATCAAGCTGCTGTCCAGAGGCCGGAGAGGCCCCAGCTCCCAAATGAAAATGGCTGCTCGAGGCAACAGGAAAGGATTTACTCCCAGCTTATCTTCTTCCTGTGCAGGGCCCCTTTCTTAAAGTCCTGGGATCAGCTGGACCGACTGGCTGAAATGCTACACAAGCTGAAGAACTGCATCTACTACAACCCTGTGGCCCTGGTGGGAGTCATTGTGCAGGTGGAGCCGGACCCTGGTTTAGATGCAGAACAGGAGGCCCGGGCCCGCCGCTGGCTGAGGTGTTTGCTAGATGGGTTTTTCTGCTGCGATTTGTTGTTAGAGCATGATGAGACGGACCCGGAGGTTCAGGTTCAGGTAGCAGTCTACCAGTCAGGCCAGCCGGAGAGGGCGTTAGAGGTCAAGAGGGCCGCCTGCCAGGCCATTCGAGCAGCCCTCAAGTTTTGAATTGGCACCACCGATGACCCACCGGGATCACGTCAGGTAAATATAACAACACGGAATGACAGTGGCTGTTATTATTTATTTCATTTCTGTTCCATTTTATGTGCTGCTTTTCTTCCAATTAGACCAAGGCCGTTAGTGCAACTCTTTTCCCCACCCCGTCCTGCAGAATAGATTAGATTGAGAGTGAAACTCATCCAAGGAAAGCCTCATGGCCAAACGGGGATTTGAACCCAGGACCCCTGAGTCTTAGTCCAGCTCTCTACACCACACTGGTCTGGCCTAGATTCTAAGCTACTTTGCTGCCCCCCAGTGGCGGCGGCATGATGTTCATGGTGGTTACTCTGCTCATGTTGATTTGCTGCAGTTTGGCTTTTGTAGGCTGAACAGCTTTTGTAGACCAGTACCATCAATGAATGAAATGGCCTGTGAGGCAACGGATTTCTGCCAAAGAGTCCAGATGGGCCCTTATACAGTCATGGCCAAAAATATTGGCACCCTTGCAATTCTGTCAGAAAAGGCAACCCTTCTCTCAGAAAACTGGTGCAGTTGCAAATGTTTTGGTACTCACATGTTCATTTCTTTGGTTTGCGTTGGAACAATACAAAAAAACAAACAGAGAAGAAAAGTTAAATCTGATACAATTCCACACAGAAACCCCAAAATGTACTGGCCAAAATTATTGGCACCCTCAACTTAATATTTGGCAGCATCCCCTTTGGAAAAAATAACTGAAATCAATCACTTTCTGTAACCATGAATGAGTTTCTTACACCTCTCTACTGGAATTTTGGACCACTCTTCTTTTGCAAACTGCTCAGGGCCTTCAGATTTGAAGGATGCCTTCTCCCAACTGCTGTTTTGAGATCTCTCCACAGGTGTTCTAAGGGATTCAGATCTGGACTCATTGCTGACCATTTCAGAATTCTCCAGCGCTTTGTTTGTAATCACTTCTGAGTGCTTTTTGAAGTGTGTTTCGGGTCATTGTCCCATGACCTCTGGTGGAGACGCCGCTTTCTGACACTGGCCACTATGTTGCGCCCCAAAATTCTTTGGTTATCATCAGATTTCATGATACCGTTCACAAGGCATCCAGTGCCAGAAGAAGTAAAGCGTCCCCAAAACATCTTTGAACCTCCACTATGTTTGTCTGTAGGGACTATGTTCTTTTGTTTGAATGCCTTTCTTTTTCTGTAAACAGTGCCATGATGTCCTTTACCAAACCCCCCCCACCCTCTACTTTTGCCTAATCTGTCCACAGTACATTCTCCCAGAAGGATTGTGGTTTTGTTGCATATGTTTTGGCATACTCCAGTCTTGCTTTTTTATGCTTTTGTGTCAGCAGTGGTGTCCTCCTGGGTCTCCTTCCATAGCATCCATTTTCATTCAGACGGCAATGGATAGTGTGAGCTGACACTGTTGTATCCTGTGAATTTGTTTGGAAGTTAATCCTTTGTTGTAATTTTTCAGTAATTTTGCTCTTCCATCCACGTCCAGGAGGTTAGCTACAGTGCCATGGGCTGTAAACCTCTTGATGATATTGCACACAGTGGACACAGGAACATCAAGATCTCTGGAGATGGACTTGTAGCCTTGAGATTGTCAATGTTTTTTCACATTTTTTTTCTCTCACATCCACAGACAACTCTTTACACTTGAAAATGTGTAAGCTGATATGAATCTTTTCAGTTTTGTGAGCTCTTTTCCTTTTCCTTTGGATAAGGATGCCATGATACTAAGAGGATGCCTCCAGTTATGGGACCTCATGCCCAAGTATTCTGAGGTACAGTCTCATTGGTCTCTTACTGTGTTTCTAAGACATTGAATGTCCCAAAGTTAAGAGGCGTCCTCTCTGTATTGCTGGCAGTCATGACGGAAGTCAAGGGTTTGGAAACAGAAGTAGAATGTGCTGAAACTAGGTACCAATTTTGAAACCACAACCGAGGTCAGAAGGTCCATGGTAAAAGTGGAGCACCGAGTGAGAGCAAGAGTTTTGGCAGAAATTGTTAACACAAAATGTGCAAAAAAACAGACGAATAATTTGCAACAACAACTGGAAACCCTTCAAAGAGTTTGAGTGAGAAATACAATCTGAGTTTCTGTAAACATTGCCTGCATTAAGGACTGATGAGAGTTAAAGAAAAATGTATGAAAAAGTTGGGTCTGAGCTTTTGTGGCAATTGTAATTATACAGGCCAGAATTGTACTGGTATTTTTATAAGACTTGTGTAACTTGCTGTAGCTAATTGACAAGATGCTAGGTGTGTGTTAGTCACATGCCTGATACTGGGGTCAAAATGCACCTTGGCGGCTCATCAGTTAGCAATAGATTTCGGCCAGTGTATTAAGTTTTTAAAGCACTGATATGTATAGTAGCATTAGTGAGTTTAAATATCATAAAACATACATAATTTATGCAAGGCTATTTGTATTTGAAATATATAATAGAGCAATTTTTTAATGCCACAAATATATTGTAAGATCTGCTTTAAATATATTATACATTTCTCTCTTTTTACAGCTCTGTGGCAACACTTGAGGTCTTGCTCATCACTGGAACATCATTTAAAATTCAGATTATTCCCTCCATCCTTCTCTGTGTGTTTTAATTTTAGAATAATTCGCCTCCAGCATGTTGGTTCATTGGTTACCCAAATCAGTGGAAAAAACTTAATTCTGGGAACCAGCTGTTTGAGAAACTACTGTTGTTGTTTAGTTGTGTCCGATTCTTCGTGACCCCATGGACCAGAGCACGCCAGGCCCTCCTGTCTTCCACTGCCTTCCGGAGTTGGGGCAAATTCAGGCTGGCCGCTTCGATGACACTGTCCAACCATCTCGCCCTCTGTCGTCCCCTTCTCCTCTTGCCTTCGCACTTTCCCAACATCAGGGTCTTTTCCAGGGAGTCTTCTCTTCTCATGAGATGGCCAAAGTACTGGAGCCTCAGCTTCAGGATCTGTCCTTCCAGTGAGCACTCAGGGTTGATTTCCTTCAGAATTGATAGGTTTGATTGCCTTGCAGTCCAGGGGACTCTCAAGAGTCTCCTCCAGCACCACCATTCAAAAGCATCAATTCTTTGGCGGTCAGCTTTCTTTATGGTCCAGCTCTCACTTCCGTACATCACTATAAGAAAAACCATAGCTTTGACTATGTGGACCTTTGTTGGCAAGGTGATGTCTCTGCGTTTTAAGATGCTGTCTAGGTTTGTTATCACTTTCCTCCCAAGAAGCAGTCATCTTTTAATTTTGTGGCTGCTGTCACCAGTTGCAATGAGCAGGGAGCCCAAGAAAGTAAATTTTAAAAAATTAGTTTCTAACTATATGGAAAGAAATGAACCCAAACCAACCAAACATCTAAAGGCTCCACAGAGCAAGACCCATCACTGGGCAGAGGTGTGACTAACAAAATTAGGGAGGCTGTTATATGTGCAGATTTGCTTTTTATGTATGCTTTCTAGCTATGCCCATAAAAGATGCTTGTGCTTTTCTGTTTTATCGGGGTTTTGCCAATTTTGAAACGCGATCAACCATGGGTATATAGCAGAAATATCCCCACATCCAACATAATTGTTCAGGGAAGTCAGTGATTCAGCGACACAGCTGATGTTCTGCATGTAGAATTAACTGCGCCTCGTGGCGCAGTGGTTAAAACGCTGTATTGCAGCTAAAACTGTGCTCACGACCTGGGGTTCAAATCCCAGGTAGCCGGCTCAAGGTTGACTCAGCCTTCCATCCTTCCGAGGTTGGTAAAATGAGTACCCAGCTTGCTGGGGGGGAGGGGGGAGGAGGAATGTGTAGCCTGTATAATTACAATTGTAAACCGCCCGGAGAGTGCTTGTAGTGCTATGGGGCGGTATATAAGTAAAAAACAACAACAACTGCCTGAGCAATGGCATGAGCTGCAACTAGCTGTAACCCCCCAAAATAATAAGCTATTCTGGGCCATCGTGGTTAGCTTCTCCAGGATGGAGTCACACGATCCCATCATAATTTCACCACAAAGATGGATCAAAAATTTCTCGGACTTCTTCTTCAACAAGGACATAGTTCCTAGTGCTCCTATTATACTCTCTTCACTTGACCTACCAGAAAGTGATTGGTCCTGATGCCACTCCGCTAGACTTATTAAAATGTGAACCAGACTGGTGGGCTTCATTACTTGCTCCCCTCTTTACCGCTATAGACAGCACACGATTTATACCCAAATTGTGGACCAATTATTGCCCCCCCATATAAAAAAGGAGACCTTCACATCCCAGAATATTTTAGACTAATTAGCCTGCTGTCAGTAATTGGAAAACTTTATGCTAAACATCTATTAAAACAAACTTACTTCCTGGATTAATAACCAGGGTATTCTTCGCCCAGAGTAAACTGGCTTCAGGAAAGGAAAGGCCACTGCAGATAACTGCCTAATACTATCACACCTCATCAAAAGAGAGGTAAGGAAAACAAATTCTAAATTGTATGTAGCCTTCCTTGATCTAAAAGAAGCCTTTGACTCTGTAGATAGAGTGTCCTTATGGGATATGTGTGGATTATTTAGACAAAAACAAAATGCAATTAAATTACAACAAACATAAAATGCTAGTTTTTGCAAAATTCTGGAATCAATTAAAGCAAAGCAAAAGCAAAGCGTGCTGCTTATATACCGCCCCATAGTGCTTCAGGCACTCTCTGGGCGGTTTACAATTTAATTATGCAGGCTACACATTGCCCCCCCAGCGAGCTGGGTACTCATTTTACCAACCTCGGAAGGATAGAAGGCTGAGTCAACCTTGAGCCGGCTACCTGGGATTTGACCCCCAGGTCGTGAGCACAGTTTTAGTTGCAGTACAGCGGTTTAACCACTGCGCCACGAGGCGCAGAGGAAACTAAATGGTAACAGTATCAAACAGGTCAAACAGTATAAATATTTAGGTATTATTTTTCACTGTAAACATTCCTGGGTTCCTCACTGACAATCAGTCTTAAACACAGCCAGGCTTTCTGTACAGTCCATACTTCGATTTTATTACATTGACAACCAACATGTCCCGACAGCCCTAAAAGTTTTTAAATCTATAATCACCCCATAAATTCTGTATGGCATCCCAATTTGGCAAAATGCCATGGATTGTTCAATCGAACAGCTACAATCCCACTTCTTACGTAAGGTATTCGGTGTACCAAGGTGTGTTCCATTCCGACCCTCCTTTTGGGTCTATTGCCCCTTTTAAAAAACCTGAAACTTATTGGTCTAGACCAGTTATGGTGAACCTCTTTGAGCCCGAGTGCCGAAACTGCAACACAAAATCAAATTAATTTCAGAGTGCCAAGACTGGAATTAAAATCCGAATACTGAGGTTTTAGTTTAGAAAAAACAACTGCTCTTGTACTGCAAGGGTTAAGTGCTTGTGTTTTTTTTTCTTATGGGCGGTATTAATAAAGAAATACTTACCGGTCCTCCAATCCCCCATTGGGCTACACTAGTAATGGTCGCCATTGCACCCCACCGCCAGACCACTGCACCAGCAGAGGGGAGTGCCAGAATCTGGGATTGGAGGAGGGTAAGTATTTCTCAATGGTGATTTATGGCTCGCATGCCCACAGAGAGGGCTCTGTGTGCCAGCGGTGGCACATGTGCTAAGTTCGCCATTGCTGGCCTAGACATTGGCTCTTTAGGTTCACTAAGTCTAGAGCTAGCATTTCAAAAAGTAAAGAGACAAATAATGGACACTGAGTTTCACGAATGATAGAGCACAGCTGATAAGACCTGTTCCCTGTTGTCTCTCCACATCTCCTTTAAAATGGGACAACCAGCTGCTTTCCACATGCTCCTTAAATGTCCACAGGGTCTTTTCTCTGGCCAGATGTAATGTCATGCCTGGTGCCATATTGTATGGTAGGTATAACCATATATAATATATATAAGCAGCACGCTTTGCTTTGCTATAACGGAACCCCTTATTCCAAAAGATATTGTCCATGTGGGCAGGGTGCTTTGGAAACCCACACTCACATGCTCTTGCACTGTCAGATTCATCAGGACTGCTGCAAAAAGTACGTCACCTCAATATTATTGAAGCTGGAGCAGAAATCTGATCTGGATAAGGTCCATTTTATGTTACCAGTGGAGGTGATCAACATTATGGAACAAGTAGTTTTCCTTGAGTCAACTGTTAGGAGGTGACGCCCTGAACCTAACAAACTAGCTTGATTATGTCTATTTTATATGCCAATAAAGGTTACAGTATTATTATTAAAATTGCCTGGGTTTAGTTCAACTTTCCACTTAAACAGGTAAGGGATTCCATCTAAATCACTGGAGAGCTGCTACTAGAGTTGACACAGAATTGGGATAGATCAGATTAGAAAAATAAGAATTGCACCATGATCATTCTATGAAAACAATCTCAATTAGAGTCAAATTCATTTTACATGCTACATCACATCACCGAGAGACCATTTATACACTTCAGAACTCCCAAAAAGGTACCAACCGTATTAAAGTTTACTTTTTAAACTATGTACATTCATATTCCCAAGGCAATCAAAACAGAGAAGTACGTGTTTTAGAAAACATACAGCATGAGGTAATGCAGTATGGTAATGTTCAATAAAAGTACTATTTACAGAGGTGGATTAACATGAACTACAGTAGCTGTGCAGGCCAGCTTTTGCCCAACACTTCAGTAACACAGCAAAAAAAAAAAAAAAGCTGAAAAAAGTTTAATTTTATAACATACTGCAGACTGATAGTATCAATGGTAACATATGCATCTTGCCATATCAAATATTTTAAACTACCGTTATTCAGCCAGCACTTTCCTGTGTATAAAATGATAAAAACCATTATTACCCAGTTATCATACAAAACCATTTTGATTATCATTTTGAAGGTAAGACAAAATGATGTTTTAGCATGTTCATCAGTAAGAGAAAGTGGAATCTTTGAAAGGCAAAGGTAGTCAAATAATTCCATTAAAAGGGACCAACGTGGACATAAACACTTTGGAAAACATGGTGCATTATAGCTGCATTCCAATTTTCAAATAAAACCATTCCATTTTGTGTCAGTTGCTATCAGGATTGTAAGGGCTGTGCAACGTAAACTCTTCACTGTCAGTTATAAAGCCCTTTGTACCGATCATAGTTATGACCAAGGAGACAGTGGAATGTGTTAACAAACAAGACAAGAGCTGCTTTCTTGAACTGCCTCTCCCATAAAATATATCCTATATTTTGGGGAAATTGTGGGAATTTCTATACAAAATATATCCTATAAATATATTTTCAGAAAGACTGCCACTTTCAAAACTTTGTTAAATAGGACTTTGTGAAAAGCTTTTAGTGTTAAAATCTCTGGTGTCCATATAAATTAGTTTTCAGTGCTTAAACAACCATTAAGCTATTTGACAAAATTCCAACAGTCTCCCAACTCAGGATGTTTCAACAGCTCTATCTGGCACTGTGAAAACTAAGAATAAGGGCAGCTGGAAAAATATTTCACATTCTCTACCAAAAACTTAGCCTGTTAATCTAATTATTATATCCATTATTTCGAAGACTGTGAAATAATGGATATAATAGCTAGAGCAAAAGATCTTCTCAATCATTTATGCTTCATTCTTTAAAATTAATAATTATGCTTAGTTCCCATAGAAATGCTTAGTGACCTTGCTATTTGCTTTTGAATAGGTCTAGAAATCTTGAGTTAAACAGTAACCTCCCAATAGTTCAAGTTGCACATTTCACGATTAACAGTTTTAACATGAAAAGAAAACCACTCAATTATATCCCAAATACAGCAAGGAATGCTTCATTTATATTTTACAAATTCCATTTCTCCCCCAGAAAACATCACACAGTAATTGTCAGCATTCTTTTGACCAATGACCACCAATTCTAATTTTCTGCTTTATGACCTTACCATCCTACAATCTGGTATGGTTATTCTTCTCCTTCATAATTTGCCATTGACATATTTTGCAACTAAATAATGTTAAATTGATTGCAATGTTTGATCAAACAGTGGATTATTCCATTGTTCCTTCCAACTTGTATGTTGAAGTCATCATTTTAAGGTTGCATTCAGATGGGTGTTCAGATATTACCAAATTGTTCCTCTTCTACTATAAACCACATGGAACTGCAGTTTGAATGTACACAATTGTATAGTCTTTTATTGTATGTCTACATCCTCTTGTTTCATGTCTAGAGAGTTTAACGTGTCTGCAATGAATGTGAGAACTGTAATGGGTGGAGTCATTTGAAACTGCTCACATTTACCATAATCTTTGTGTTGGGCACCATTTTATAAACTTGTTTGGGGATTTTAAATTAGTATTTATCACTAAAAATATTTTCAAAGTGATTTTTGAAAAAGATTTCAAGGGGAAGTTGTGTTAAATCTCTTCCAACAACAATAAAAGAGTCTTTTGGCAACTTAAAAACAAACAGGTTTTGTCTCACAGAATCTTAGATGGCTTGCAGCCCATGCACATGATTAAATGAACTACAGTCTATTAATGGTTATGCCAAATAAAACTTGATACTCTAGGACTGTTGCCAAACAAAACTTCTACGTCTTTAATTCTACTAGATCCATGATTTTTTTAAAAGTGAAAGAAATAGCGCACAATACCACCATGACAATAGTCAACTCAAAGAGCCTTTTCTGGGCACTGAACGACAGCCCAGAAATGTTTAAGAAACCATATCCCTCAAAATTAGCAATAGTTGAAATACTGTTGCTTAGTGTAATAATTTGCACTAGAGTAGCCCCATTGAATCAATGGGAATTTGGTAATTCAACTTCTCCATTAGTTCAAATGGGTCTACTCTAATTTACTATGCTAAAACAAGTTGCAGCTAGGGTAGACCCATCTGAATCAATGGAAATTATGCAGAAGTTGGCTCACCAAATGCCCACTAGTTCAATGGGCTTACTTGTGTGACTTACTACACTAAGCAAAATGATTTCAGCCATTGTTTTCTACCACTATAGTAGAAAAATCGACATACTGTTATAATTTACCGTACTAAACCTCTGAATTAAAAATATAAATAGAAAACATTTTAATGATAATCTGAAGATTTAAAAAGCAAAAACAAGATCATAAAATGGCATCAGTTACGAAAGTTAAAATAAGTATGTAACAAGATGTGACAGATTCACTTTTTTGGTACATCATTGGCCATGTCAATATCCAATCTATTAAAATAAAGGGAAGAGTATTATTAAAGGGACCTACTCCTACCTAGATTGTGCTCCTACTTCATTTTAATAAATAAAAAAATTAAGACTTCCTGCATTGGAAGTCATGACAGAGAGAAAATCCAGGATACTGACTGGATGATAGCACTTGTGACATGTGGATATCCAATTAAAAAACCCAACTATGACAATTCTAGACTAAATGTGTTGGGTAGAAACAACTTAGAATAGTTACAAAAGGTACCACCAGGCTTCTAATAAGTCAGGTTTAAGTTGGGTTTGAGCACTTTAAAGCCTTACAAGGTCTGCTCCATGTATGAACCCCGATAGTTTTCTAGGATGTGTGGTTAAACAACATTCAGTTTTATACTTTCCTCACTCCCGGTTTTTGTCAATTTATTTATCTACACAAATAAAGACAGATAATTATCTATCTATCTGGAGAGTGCATTAAGTAGTTTACTTGATATGAACCTGCTACATACTACAATTCCCACACATTCTCATTATATAATTATTCAAAAAGTGAACAGCCAATGGCTAGTTTTGCTTAGATGAAGATAGATTAAAAATAACAGTGCATGATACACAAAGCAAGTGAATGTCTGACACACACATATTTGTTTTAAAACGTGATTATTTATCTATTGAAATTAAATCTAAAATTGGAAAGTATGAAAAGACTTTAAAAGTAGCACAATCACCTCTAATAATTACTTCCAATAAAACATTTTTAAAAGCATCTTAGACATTGAATTACATTGCAAATATTTTCCTTGTTTTCCCTACAGGGATCCAGCCCTGGTTAGCAGCCTGTACACAGACCAAAACAGGAGAGAAATGCACAGACTTCAAACACTTAACATGCACATGATAAAATAAGGTGAAAGCAGAATATTAGCAAACATGTACTGACCACGCTTAGGAGTTTTACATGTAAAAACAGAGTACAAACCAAAAAAAAGAGGATCATCCTATCCCTAATAATACACACAGACTTGATCTCTTCATTCATTACTAATCAAATACCAGGACTTCGTCTATTTTATGTAACACCAAGTACATGCATTGATGTACCCAGAATGCTTATAAAGATCTTCCTCAACACACACATTCAGATTAATATCATGAAATGAAATACATGTAGAAGATTGCCAACAAAACATTATAAGCAGAGATTGGGGAAGAATTAACTTCTGTATCAGCAACAGGAGGCAACTGAGAGAAACTGGACTCCTGAAGGAGACCAACTAACTGTCTGGTTAGAAATCCATGAACAAGGTGTGGTGAAAGTGGTATCCACAGCAACAGAAGCTGTTAGCAAGTCACTTTAGGGCTCCAGCAGGATCAATGCCATAAAAATAGGTTAGTGGAGTGAAAGCATGTCAAAGATTACTATTGAGGATGCAAGTAATTCATTTTCAAAGAACCCTTCCAGAAAACCTACTTGCTTGCATGAGGTTTAAAGAATAAAATTTGTATGATTTTGTGCTTTACACTACTGGTTTCTGTACCATTACATCTGTCTTCGGTACCTGAGAACCACCACAAGTCCAGTGGACTGTCAACATTGAACAGTGGTGTCTGCTTTTTTAGCCACACTTCTCAAAGACTTGCTTGCTAATGAACAAAAATCTAAGCACTGGGTGGGCATCACTTTCTGGCAAGTCTTATAAAGGTTTATACTTGTTAGAATACGTAACATGCATTTTCAACTTGATCTTCCTTCATAGCCTTCAAATACAGAGTGTCCTTCCCATTCTACACCATGAAAATTTGTTACAAAAGATATCACAGATTCCTGTGGCCATGCAAAATTTCTCACTGATGCTGGAATTCTAGCACAGTAAGAGTATTCCTTCTAAAGTGAAGACTCTGCTTCAAGGTGGATTGTAATCAGGAGAGGCCAGAGCTCCATAGCAGAACACATGGCTTGGCATGCGAAAGTTTCATCCTGGGCATCTCCAGGCAGAGATGAGGAAAACCCTGAAGAGTTTACCCGTCATTGTAGACAATGCTATGTTAGATGGACCAACAGACTTGATCTGTTGGTCCATCTAACATAGTTCCCTCTGCTCCATTAAAGGTGTGCACCATGATTCCCAGAAAAAAATATACTTTGGAGATGCCTTGCTTTTACTAAAGGACAGAATCTTAAAAAAAAACAACAACAGTAAAACTGTACTAACCAGTTAACCAATACGAATATGAGGAATTTAATCCCCTTCCCAAAGGGGGGGAAAAAGAAGAAGACACTGGCTGGACTCTAGAGAGTGACTTTAAATATATCCAATGTGATTTGTGACCAACATGACTTCCCATGTCAACTCAAACATGGTGTATTCAAGATTTTATTTTGGAATTTCCCTCAATTTCAAACATGGTTTGAGATTGGAGAAGGATGTTTGGAAAACACAAGCCCAACCCATGGAACCGGGTTTTTTTCCCCCCTTTACGTTCTGTACACATACGGATGTTTAAACCGCAAGAAAGGGACCTGAAGACAAATACGAGTCAAGGTGACCAATTATTTGGACAACTCTTGCCTCAAACAAGATCCTATAAATCAAGGCATTGCCTTCATCAGTATTTAGTATTCAAGATCAGTATGCTGTCACTGCAGTAAGCCACATTTCAATCATGCTACCTAAAGAACAGTAATTCTATATCTCACTCAAATAAATTCAAGCTCTGCAGTAACAGACAGCACACTCACAAGTTCAACCTGACCAAGAAAAGTAGTCTCTCACCCATGTATATTCTATACAAATTTATTTATAATGTTTATATTCTAATACCTAGTATCAGCACATTATATTCAAATTGGTATTGCACTCTTGAGTAATACCTCAGTTTGAGGGACAGAAGAAATGGCAAGTGCATTCAGTTACCCAGAATTGTGGAACATCTCAAATTCTATGAGTCAAGTGAGACAACAATATTAACGTGGAAGAAATGGCACTTCATGTATCCGAGAATAAAAATACTTGGTGTTATAAATTTGGGGGAGGGGGGACACATTGTACCAAGATTTCTGCTACATGATGCCAATTTTATCAATTTCATGTTGTTATACAGAGATATACAGATATATATGCACACACGCACACACAAACAACTATAAAATATTGGTTGGTTAGCTCTGCATGCTAGGGATTGTTGCAGTACAAAGGACTATTTAGCGATCAGTCTGAAAAAAATATCTTCTAGTTTGTCAGTTACCATGATTAAGCAGAAAGAAGGCCAAGACGGAAGTGGGCTGCAAAGTCAAAATTAACAAAATACTCAGAATATCATTTAAGGACTATTGCCTGAGATTATTGGGAGGAAGACCGGAAGGGTCTCATTTCATCCTAATGTACCAGAACTCACATTGACACTGGAAGTATTAGTTACAATTTATCTTCATGCTCGCATTTCTATAGGCAGATCTTCCTATGGGGGAACAAGCCATTACCAGTGGAAGCATGAGCTCCTCTACTACCTGCCTTGATCTCCTTCTTCTCCTTCTCCCACTTCCCAATCCACAGGAGCCTTCTCTTCTGATTTTTTTAAAAAGCCAGCAGTACTGAGAACTAATCAAAGATCTGCCTACTTCTTTGCAAGACAGAGATACCTTCTTGCTTGTATCTCCACTGATCTGATCCAAGTCTATGTTTTTTCAGCATGCGCTTGTTGCTTGATTGAAAGTTGCTATTGAAATATAAGCATCCTTGTTACATATCAGCCTGCACCAACCATCAGCCATGCTGGATGGAGATGGCAGAAGCTGTAGTCCGAGAAATCCAGAGGACACGACATTGGGGAAAGCTGTTCCAGGAAACCAAGCTAGACACACTGATCATAAAATATATTTACATGGGAACAAGTCTCACTGGATTCAACAGAACCTTTTTCTGAGCAAATAAGCTTGAGCTCCAGGCTGGTTCTTGAGGGCCACTTCAGGAAAAGAAGTTTGTGCTGCTGTAAACAAGTAGTGTCCTAACATGCAAAGTGGGAGCAGCTGTGTAGCTCTGCCCAACCTGCCACTGTAACACCCCTCCCACCCCACCCAAGCTAGAGCTGGGCAAAGCCTTTGATACAGGGAAAGTACACTAAGGAGGAGCTGTGGGACAGCGTCCCGCGTCAGGTCCCTGCACACACTGCCATGTTGTGCCTTGACCAGCACAGGGACACTTCAGCGTGACCCCATAGGTCACTGAATGAGCTTAGTGGCTTCTATAATCAGGCTGGTAGACAGAGAAGTGGTCTGCAGAATTAAAACAACTGGAAAGCGGACAACTCAATGTAAAGAAACATTATATATTAATAGTTTCTGTTATATAAATAACCATTATAAAAATAATCTTTAATTCTAGTAACTCACCTCATTTTAGGCTCTGGAAAGCATGTGTGAAAAATGTTTTGAGGCTTAGGTTAGAAAAAAAAAGTCCAAAGTGTTGCACCAAACCTAATCCTCCTCACTAACCAGATTTTTGAGGTGGTGGGGAGGTACTTCTTAATTCTACTAATACTGTCCAGCAGAATCTTAAGCTCTACTCTTAAGGACCTGTTTGAACTAGACGGTCAATCAAACTGGGAAAGATTGCTTCTCTTTAATTCCACCAAGTGCATCTGACATGATAAAGGCACCATCTCCTATAATTTACTGAGCAGAGTTCATGGGAGTGGAAAACCCTTCTAAGAGCAATTGTAATTATTGCTAAGCTTTCCTTCTTTTTCAATCTTTTGCAACCACTATGAGTTAAATTCCCACCAGTACAATCAGAACATGTGAAAGACTGGTTTTAATGCTGCTGCAGGTTTCCTACTTAAACAAACCAAGATAAATGTCTCTAAACCTTATATTTCCAGACTTAAGGCATAACACGACTGTAGATACAAGAAAGTTATGCTTTGAAATGCACAATCCGTCGTGTTCCAAAACCAGGTAGCTTTGAGTTTTTCATTTTACTACAAGTTCAAATGCTGTCCTTGATTTGTGCAATCATGATGCAATCTACTTCTTACTGCCAAATAGTCAACAGTGCAGTGGAACATCCAAAAACGGGCCCTCCTTTTTCCAATGTCTTTACTCTTGTCTCAGTTCAAGGCATGTTGCTTGATTGTGTGGAAGATCCAGTCCATTTTTGTTGTCCAGCCACCATGATGAGCATCATTCATCTGTTTCATGAAATACTCAAGGGCTTCCTGCTCCGTTTTGTCCAATGCGAGAGTCTTGCGAATATATGCAATATCATCAAAAGACTGTAGTTCTGGCATTCCTGAACCAAGCATCATGGAGAATAGATTTATGAACAGATTGGCATGCTGCCGGATTGCTAGGTAAGCCTTGTAACACATTTCTTGGAACCTTGAAAAGGATGAGGGAGGAAGAATGAAATTGTTGGAAATCAAGTTCTGTAAGATCTAGAAAAATGTTTGAAGATCAATGCAACAGAAATTTGAGTACCTAAAAACAGAAGCCAATATTTTCACTGGAAAAGGCGACAATGCTATCAAACTTCATTTTTTTAATGCAGCACTGAGGAAAACAGTCTTTCCACAGAGAAAAAGAAAATGACTTTCATGATGCTTTCTACTGGAGAGACATGTTGTCAGTCATACGTCAATCTTTCCCAAAAGGAAACTGCTTGAGAAATACCTTAGAAGTAAAAGTCTCCAGAAATATGGCACACCAAACTTAACCAAATCAGATCATACAGGTGTGTGCCTACTGGTACTCTCTGCAACTGACTGACCATCCGTGTTCTCTGCTTTAACTTGCCTCCATTTACAAGCTCCTCAATCTGAGATATACCTTGCCCTTTGACAGCTTTGGCTTTGCCATTACTAGGCATGTTTTCTCATGTCAATGATGCAAAGCAAGAGTAGGCAGACAGTGGTTCCCCAAAACACTTACACCCTAAAAATATTTATTTTCCCAAAATATACTGTTTGCTCAGAAAGTCCCCTTGTGCTCTTCAAGAGATATGGGGGCAATTCTGCCATGTTTTGCCCTCCCTCATAAGCTGTTTTAGAAAAGGTGGGGACTATTTTCAACATCAAAAGTCTGAGTTGCTTAGGGAGCAACAGGGAGAGATAGGAAAGTTGGACTCTGTAGCCCCTCTAAATGCTGCCTGTCACTCTGTAGCCCCTGCAAATGGAAGAACATTTTTTTGGATTGGGGTGGATGGCAAAGGATCATATGCTGCCCTCCAAGGCACAAGGGTGTATGTGTAAGGTATCTGGAACTCTGGATGTTTCTCACCTTGATGTAAGCAAAGCAAAGAAGAGCCTGGCTTCACCTCTGCAGGGTGCAAGGCATGAAATGTTTAAATCCATCTAACATCTTGAGATGGTGCTACACATATACCTTACTATATTCCAATATTAAATGGAAAAACATTAACATTATAAAACTGCAATAAGTCTTTCTAAACTTCCAAAGTGAAAACCGTTCAAAGCTTTTTAGGGCAGGATACAGACCCCTACAACTCCTATATGCTGTGTTTTAGATATCAGTCAGGAAACACTGCATATAGGAGGCATATGTGTATACAAGGAGAAGGGAGGGGCTATAAACCAGTGGAACAGCACATGCTTTGAATGCAGAAAAGTTCCTGGTTCAGTCCCCAGGATCTCCAGTTGAGGCTGAAAAAATTCCTGCCTGAAACATTGAAGAGCTCCTGTTCATCACTGTTGACAGTACTAGGCTAGACAGAGTAATGGCCTCCATGAAATCCTGAAATCCTGTTACCTAGCATACTAAGTTGCAACTAGGGTAGGCCCAATGAATCAGTGGGTGAATCACCTCCTCCATAGATTTCACTGATTCATCAGCTTTTGATGTGACTCACAATGCAGGATTTCAGCCAGTATTATGGCAGTATCCTAAATGGGGGCAATTTTCCTTTTTTGCAGAACGAATGTATAACTTTCTCTGGGCTGACATTCAAAAAACACCTTTTTGGAGAAGGTGTATGTGTCCATGAAGAGTGTGTACCTCAAAGGCTCCTATGCACACATACTGTAAAAAAGGTTCTTAGCCCTTTGAATTTCAATTCATTCTATGAGTTCTTTAGAATACAGTGGTGCCCCGCATGACGACGATAATCTGTCCCATTGAAATCGCTGTTTAGCGAAATCGTCTTGCGAAAACCGTTTCCCCATTGGAATACACTGAAACCCATTTAATGCATTCCAATGGCGAAAAATCATTGTCGTTTTGTGAAGATCGCCCATAGGGCAGCCATTTTGCGAAGCACTGATCAGCTGTTAAAATGGCTGTCCTGCGAAGCATCAGTCCCAAAAATATAGGGAAGCCATTTTGCGAAGCCGCCAATCGGCTGTAAAAATTGTCATCTTGCGAAAAAATGGTCCGCGAAGCACGGACCAAATCATTGTCCAGCGAAAATTGCCATTGGAATCACTGTTTTGCAAATAGCTATAGCAATCGCAAAACATCATCATCATGCAGATTCGTTATTTTGCGAGGTCATCGTCTAGCGAGGTACCACTGTAGTCTATAATTCTTCGCAAAATAAACTATGCATGAAAGTGATGAACCATTTTGTTTATATGTCTTCACGAAAAATTAGTGCAAGCCAGTTACAATTTTCTTTTAATAAGAAATGTTTTCTGCAACATGCCAAAGCAGTAAAATCTACCTAAAGGTCTCTTTAGATTAGACTTGGCTGATAAAAATTAAAATTTCAGTTATGAGAGGGCTCACCTTTCAAACTCCCTTGTTTTAGTACATTCTTGGGCTCCTTTACTAATCACAATTAAGAAATCTTGTGTCAAGACAAACGGCACACGTTCTCGTTTGTAGCCAAACTTCTTCTTTTTATGATCCAAGAAGTGTCCAAAATCAATGTGAAACAGCTTTGAAGAAAATATAGTGGTTTTAGTGTTGGTTATGTTTTGTTTTCACTTGGGTTGCATATTTATATTACTGATTTCGTAGCTGCCCAGAACAGTGGCTCGCCACTAGGTGGGCAGGGTAAGACACCAACCAGCGCGTGGCTTGGAAAAGCTAAGAGGAAAAAATGGCTATCTATATTTTTGCTCTAATTTCTCAATGCAAACACCAATATACAGTATAAATAAATTATTTATCTGTTGTATCTGGGGCCTTGAGACTGTTCCAGGAACCCCAGACTTTTGCAACAGCTTGTTAAAGGTTCCTAAGAGAACAGGTTATGAAGACAAACATCTAAAAACACAGCTCATCCCCCACTACCAATTTGCCATTGATATACTCATCCACAGAGGAACATTTCTATGCACTCGAAAGAGTTTTCAATTCATACAAGTGGTGGTAGCGATGCACAAGAAAGCTGGATGGTGCCCAGCATAACTCTCTACTCTACCCAAATGTCTCCACAATGCCTAGTTCTCAGCTGGATGTTCAGCTACTCAGAGGCTGATCACTAGACAAGCAGGTATAGGGAGTGTTATTTGAAGTGGACAGTTTCAAAATGACTGGATTGCATACATAAATATAAAGAAAACATTCTATATATTTTTACCTGCCCATCATCCTTCACCATGATATTGCTATTATGACGATCTCCTATTCCTAGTATGAATGTAGCTACACAATAGCCAGCACAGGAACGTGTAAACAAATCAATAGCAGGATCATACCTATCAGAAAGAGACACAGCATGTTTAATTTTATGTATTTCATTGTTGTTGTTGTTTTTTTTTACTTATGTCACAAAAGACATTGGACAAACAATATGTTTGAATTACCTCATAAACTGGGGTGGTCAAATCTGGAGAATCCAGAGTCAAACCCCTGCCCTTGGGATTAGGCTAGGGGCACAGAAATTGCATGCAGTGTACCATGTCTGTTTTGTACTTTGTATATAAATAACTTATTCAGCCAAGAGCAAGTGTCCTTTCACAGGCCGAAATGGTTAAGAGACAAATAGACTGCTTCTTGCAATGTTTGTTTTTTATGCATTCACACTACAAGTCTGCACCTGTGAAAGATCTACTCCTTTTGGAATCTTTGAAAGTGAGAGCATCTGCTCCCCACTTCTTCTCTATAACACACACTCCTGTGCTTCTTCAGTTAACAAATTCGAAATGATACAGATCCCCTTGTCATTCATATATCAGAAAAGAGAGAATGGTGATCCCATGAATGCAACAGAAGACTGCTTGAAGACCAAATATTGCAAGAAATTAAGTGTTTTTCTCCGCATGGTTTACATGCATTCACAGCGATGTGGGTGAAACCTAGTGAGCTTATCACTAGCATGAAGGGCTGCAGCAGCTAGGTTGGCATCTGCAATCACTGAAGTCAGTCTTTCTGAAAGAAGTGCCCCTCTTTGTTCTGGTATACAAACAGTAGTACTGTATAAAGGTTGATGGCTGAGACCTTGTGGGTCGCTTTTGCCTAACTCTGATATGGAAACCCCTTGTAAGAATGCTGTCAAAGGAGCCATAGCGCTAGTGGAATAGCTCCTTGGTGTGTCAGGAATAAACTTATTAGCCAGTTGATAAGCCATTACAACTGCCATTTTGCAAGTCTCTGGGCAAAAGTGGTTTGTCCCTTCTTATGCCCACAGTCTGCCATGAAAGTATACATGGAGTCAATGTACACTTAGCTGCCCTTTGATCTTAAAAGGCCAAATTCATCCATACACTGAGCATATGAAGAGTTCTCTCTGACAGTGCAGAAAAAAACTTTAATACCAAGTGACTCAGAGAGCTTATAAAGCTGCAGAGCAGCTGTCAGCACCATAATCAACTGTAAAATGAAACTAGTTTGCATGGGAGGTCGACAAGAACAATGGGCAAAGGTGGTGCCAACCTCAGTGTTGATGCTGGTGTCACAGGCAGCAAATGCTGAGATGACATGTATTGCCTTCCACATTCCCTATGTTACTGATGGTAAGACCAGCTGGTTGGACGTTGGTAGTGTTCCAATTTAGGAGACTGGTACCAATGCCAGGAGGTGAGGCTGAGGAGCCTGACACCGAGGGAGGCCTGGAAGAAAAAGACTCGAAACCGGGCCTTCTCGGCGGTGGCTCCTCACCTTTGGAACAATCTCCCTCCTGAGATTCGCGCCGCCCCTACTCTGGGTATATTTAAAACCTAATTAAAAGCATGGCTTTACATCCAGGCCTTCCCTCCTGCAGCATTTAATTCAATTTTCTTTCTCTTGTCTATCTATCATTTATTATTTTTTGGAATGTATTTTTAGTAATGATGTTTTTGAATTTATATTATTTTAATTGTATTCATGTTTGCTGTTAGCCGCCCAGAGTGGTATAATATACCAGATGGGTGGGATATAAATCAAATCAAATCAAATCAAATCAAATCAAATCAAATCAAATCAAATCAA